GGGGGGGGGGGGGGGGGGGGGTGCATGCAAGAAATAGTGTTGTTGACACTGGAATTGTATTTTTTCTTTGGCTGGTGTATTTTACACAAGAATATTGAACTTGATTGAAATTGACAATTTAAAAATGAAAAAATTGGACCGCTAATTCTACGTGAGACCTAATTTTTTGAACTAATAAAGTATCCAATTTAATATAGTTATTGGATTAGTTGTAAGTTGTGATGATGGGGTCTCCTTTTAATCTAGTAATTGTATTGAATTAGGTTTTCGGATTAAATCCTTAAATTAAATCTAAATAGCATTTATTCTTTCCAGGGCTTTTCATTACCTTATTCCCAAATAGCAATGCTACTTGGACCTACCTTAGTTGCTAATCTAATCACTATCAACCATTAGATTGACAATAGATTCAACTATTAGTTAGGCCTGCTACAAATTCAATAATTATGACGCGTTAGATCAGATTAATGGTACAAATAACATTTTTTACTCCCAAAATATCACCAATATATTCCTAATTACTCGCACGGCCACTCCTCCAAGTATTAGGCTGGAAAATTATGTTACATGTTATTTTGAAGCGGTTCCATTCCATTGGACATTTGGCCTCTTTTAATCGAAGAAGAAATCTCTTAAACTTTACCCAGAAAGGATTTTCAAGAAATCAACAAGCCTCTCTATCTCTCTATAATGGCAAACCACTTCTCTCTCCACCTTCTCCTCTTGATGGCAGTCACCTACGCCAACCTCTGCCTCCTTAGCCACAGAGTCTCCTCCACCATTGCCTTCTCCACCAACACCTCTCTCCTCTATCCTCCCACCATCCCACCACCACTGACAGAGCTCCAAGAATAGAAATCCAGTATCATAATTGATGCATTGATCACAATCGATTAGGTTTTAGTGTGTAATCGATTGTGCTTTAAAAATCTATTCAACCCCCTCTAGGTGGTATAGTGTACTCCACATGTACAATCAAAAGGGAAAATCCACAACATTTCTCCCCTTCCTTCCCAGAACAACAATTGCTATGAAAGTATGGTTGCCCTGTGCTTGCACACTAGTTTGCCTTTTAGAGATCTATTGACATCTACGAGCTAGTATCTAATTGAGTCTTAGAATGGAGGGTCAATTGCAAGACCATCACCCTTCCATGGATCAAACTTCATATCTACATGAGAGCATTTTTAAAATCTATTGACGAGAGAGTGTGGTTGATTGTGCAAGAGGATTGAAACCCTCTCGCTGCCACCACATAAGTCAAAGGTGGTGAAGCGGTAATTGAAGTGAAATCCCCAAGGACTTGGTCAAAGGCTAATATTGAGTCGGTGGGGTGAAACTCCAAAGGTTTGAATATAATATTTAATGTTGTGAAACCAAACAAGTTCTGGAGAATTGTAAATTGCAAGACCACCAAGGAGGCATTTGATATTCATATGGTTTCACACGAAGGAACTACAATGGTCAAGATGTTTTGTCTTCAAAAGTAAACCCCTCAGTTTGAAACTTTGAGGATGTAAGAGGAAGAATCATGTGGCAACTTTTATGCCAAATTGTGTGATATTGTTAATTCTTCCTTTGCATTGGGTATCAATATCGACAATGCCGCCATTAAGTGAAAAATCTTGAGATCTCTACCGGAGAGATTTCATGCAAAGGTGACCTCGTTAGAAACTAGATTCAATATGGTCTCGGTATTGATCGAAGACCTAGTAGGGTCAATTTTGACTTTTGAGATGAACCTTCTTCTATCCACGAAAGTGAAGGGTGTAGCTTTAAATTCGAAAATTGAAGAATGGGATAAATCTGAGTCACCTCGATTAGGAGAAGAGGACAGAGCCTACCGTGCACAAAAATTCAATAAATATTTTAAGGCTATTGGTGTTAAGTACTCAAGGTTGCAAGGGAATCCAAGTAGACCCAAGTCTCTTAGAAACGAGGTGGAGAAGAAAGGGCAAGGTCTCCAATGCTACTAGTATCATGGGTTTGGATACATAGTTGCGGAATGTCCCAATGCTAAGAAAAATGATATGCCCAAGGGCAGAAGGAGAGCTCTAAAGGCCAAGGTGAGTGAAAGTGAAAATGAGTCTACAACGAGTGTTGGTCCTCTTCTCAAAGTGATGAAGAAAACTTCACAACCTTTGTAGATTCACACATCTTCCCCCTCCCCCCAAACGAGAAACTTCTAAAAAAGAAGAGGAAGCAGAGTCAAGTCCCACCATGAATGTAGAAAACTTAGACTTTGAAGTTTCTACAAGTGTGGTCGAGACCAAAAGTGTTGAGAACCTCCAAGATGCATATAATGAATATAGTGAAGTTCGAGGCTCATATTGTTAAGCTTGAGGAGGAGAAAAAGTCCCTCAATGACAAGGTGAGTTTTTTTTTTGAAAGAGAGCACAAAGGGCTTTGAGTCCAAGAAGGGTCTTGAGTTTAAACTCATCAAACTTGATAGAGACCTTCATGAATCACAAAAGCTTTCAAAAATACTTTTCCAAAACACCAAAAATTTGATAAAATGTTAGCTATAGGGAAAAGTGTGGGTAACAAGAGAGGCTTATGCTGCATCCAAAACACCCCCACCATATCCAAAATCGTGTTTGTGAACTATAATCCCAACCCATCACCCCCACAAGTAAGCACAATTCACAAAAAGACTAATAGTTCGTTTGGTAGGGTGGATAGAAAATTAGAAGGATGAAAAGTGGGAGTGATACACTTTCCATAATTTAAGAAATAAATATTTACTTCCCTCCTTTGTGTTTGGTAAGAGGGATGGAAAGTAGGAAGGATTGATTTTTTTGTGTTTGGTAAAATAGAAAAATTATTTTTAATTTTTATTAAAAAAATATAAATATATATTTTATTATTATATCTATATATGAAATTATTGTATTCAAAATATGTAATTGATAAATATGATATATGCATATATCAAAGGATATATAAACAAATAACATACATTTCAATACATAATTAATTTTTCATCCATTTTTCCTCCTAATTTTGAAGGGATTGATTTTGGTGAGTTGGAATGAAAGTTAATCCATCCACTTTTCCATCCTTCTTTACCAAACATGATGTTTTATCTATCCCTCCAAATTTTCATTATTCTATTTTTTGATCGTACCAAACGAAGTATAAGAATAGTAAGCGAACGCATTAAAAGAAACCGATTAAAAAGAAAACTCAAAACCAATCATTTGTGTATTTTACTTGCAGACAAAATGGTCATTAGAATGCACATTACATTTATAGTAAGGAAGTCATGGATAAAAAGTGCATGCATCTAGCCAACAAATCTACAACATTGAATAATTAAGTTGTGAATCTTTCTAAGGTTTTGGAGAGGTATTGCAAGTCCAACCATAGTCATGTATCATCGTCTACAAATGGACCACATGCTAGAGAGTCCAAAGTTCCTCTGCCCTAAGGTCAAGGTTGATCTACATACATCCGGGAAGAAGAGAGCTAATCCTCCACTCATTCATTGACCTAACTTGAGTTTTAGGAAGGGAAAGCAAGTTTGGATGTCTAGGGAAAACCTTGAGAAACTGTAACGCCCCAAAATCCACCTTGAACGACATTACAATCTAAAAACCATTAACAACACGAGAGCACTAATAATATCCATAATTAAGATAATTTCATTTATCATTCATAATATCTACAACGTTATCCAAAATAATATGCTGAACTATGACATCTATATCCCAAAATAATATATATCAAACTATGACAATTACATCTCAAAAGAATCAAGCTTAATCTTGCAGTGGAATAAACAAAAGGTTAGACTCTACATAGTCTCAAAAGGAATTCTCTAGTCTAGTACATAGGGGAGTACAGCCCTAAACATCCACTTCGGGATCCACGTGCCCATCTAGTGGAGCATCCCATTATATCTGCTCTTCGCTTCCGAGTTCTTCATCTAAGCCAAAATCTGAAAAGCATGATGTAGTAAGGGGTGAACACTAAGCTCTGTAGCAACATCCTCCCAAACTTGAACAAGGTTTAGAAATCATATAAAACAGTTCGGTCTATTTTTCTAAAATATCATATATAACTTGAAGTAAAACAGTAATAGTTTATTTGATCTCAAGTTAACGCAATGACAATAAGTTAATTGAAAAGAATCAACATGTCAGGATTAAAGAAAAACAATAAATTATACAATAGCCTCATTTCATATTCTCATGTATGTTGGTTGCTTCCCATGAATCTACATAACGACTTTTACCTCGTTCACCCATCACAATCACACAATCCCAAACATTTTAGGAAGGGTGTATACCGTCCCCCACGACATTGACGAATCCTTCTCAGAAAAGGTATATCATCCCTCAGCCTTGAACTTACGTGAACAATTGTGGTTGCTCTCACAAACAACAAATCATTACAAGTGTTAGGAAATTATCTCACTTCCACTGGGATAGACTAACCTTTAACACTCTACGGCAATGCTCGAATGCAATTCAAGTCCATCACAACAACCATACAAGAGATGCAAAAACAACTATTTTTGCAAATTACACATACATCAAAAACCCCCAAATTTTCATAGGTATCTTCTCTAATAGAACAATTTAAGAAAATATGCAGGAGATCATCACAAATACTATTTTGTTGTTCAAAACAAAGAACTAGAGTTTGAAAACCAAGAACAAAGGAATATTAAGAAGAAAAATCTATTTTTCTCAAAAACTAGAGTATTCAAGTCAAGAAGAGAAATTTCATGGCTATATAACCATAGCTTTGTTTAAAACATGGTAATAAGTGCAAAAGCGTTAAGAGATAGAGATTTCATAGCATATACTTAGGATCAAGAGTAAAAATATATATACATATAAATGCCCTACCCTCAATGTACAAGAATGGAAGAAAACCCCTACCTTGGTGTTCTTGAAAAAACTAGGGCTTTGATCCAATCCAATGTGCAAATCCTCTTTGATCTTGTGTTTTTCCCTCTATTTCTTCCTCTCTAAGGTTTCCTAGGGTTAGAAATGTTGAAATGAGGCTAATAGAGGCGTCATTATGTATTTATAGGGTGAAAAATGGACCCCAGATCACGACTTAAAATTTTTGGAACTTATAGAACGTACCAGTACGGTAAACTCTCGGAATAGTTGCATACCGGTACTCTGTACTGGTACGGTAACTTCTAGGCGTACCGGTAGTGCCAATACAGTCTATTCAGTTTTGCCTGTTTCTTTTGTTTTTCATTTCCAATCCATTCCAAACTCTTCCAAAACCAATTCAAACTTATACAACATAAATTTTTACATCAACATAGTTGGTACAAATTCGATTATAAAAAAAATTTCATATATTTACTTGCTACATATTAAAATAAAAGTGTGGGGGTTTACAGGAACTCACCATCTCAACCAAGTTGGAGGCCTCTAGTGTTTCTAGCAAGGTCATAGCTCCTAAGAAATAGAAGAGGTGAGGGTATGGGCCTAGATGTTCATTAATGCATTACATCAAACACCCTAGGGTCGTACATTGTATATATTTTAAATTTTTTTTTTGATTTGTTTTTCTATATGAAAAAGTCAACAACGATAGAAATTTGATAAACCCAAAAACAAAAGAAATTGAAAAATCCAAAAATATATTTGATGTCAAGGTTGACAAACATTTTTAGGATTTATGTTAATTTATTTATTTATTTTTTGCTTTATTTTATTTGCATGTTTTTCATATTTTTACTTGTATTTGATTATTTAAAAAATACAAAAATATTAGAAAAGGAAAGGCAAAAAGATACTCGTTTTGTTTATTTTTCTTTGTTAATGATCATGATAATTCACACTTTGTTTTGTATCATAATGATT